ACACCTGCAACACAATGTCGACAATACAGAGGAGATACGGACAGAATGCATAAAGCTCCAAGCGTGATAACACGTACCGCAGCGCTCGTACAAGCTGGGAGGAGTACAAATCTATCTAAAACCATCACCTAGTTCACCAGACACTTGTTGTCAGATTCAAGTCTTCCGTACACAAAACGATTTCCCCACTTACGGCACGCTGGCCTGCCTGCGGCAGCCAAAGTTAATTTTGCCACCCTTCCCTGTCCATCAATTTCATTCCGCATTTGGAGTTCACAGGGTTAGAGACCCTGCACATGCTGCACTATTACAATAACTGTCACGTGATGAATAAGGTACGATTCGGACTAGAGTCTCTGAATCACCTGTTGAGAAAGTACCATTTTCTGATGGCAAGTGGGAAAATCGTTTTGTGTACGGAAGACTTGAATCTGACAACAAGTGTCTGGTGGAACTAGGTGATGGTTTTAGATAGATTTGTACTCCTCCCAGCTTGTACGAGCGCTGCGGTACCGTGTTATCACGCTTGGAGCTTTCATGCATTCGTCGTATCTCCTCTGTATTGTCGACATTCGTGTTGCAGGTGTCGCTGGCAAAGTGTTGTTACCTGATCCTGGACGAGGCAGACCGCATGCTGGACATGGGCTTCCTGCCAGAGATCCGCAAGCTCGTCACCACCTTCGACATGCCGGATAAATGTAGGCGTCTCGGCTTTGCTTCCCTGCTCGCACGCGGCCGCTCTAACCTCGATGAACCTTCGCGTGCGCCTAAGCGCCCTCGTTTGGAAACAACATCAGTCTTGGCATTAGTCTTGACGTTAACCTTTTCTCGTAGACTAGTACGTTGGGAGGAATCTTGAGAATAAATTTGTTTTCTGAGAATGTGTCCCTGGTTTTTTGGCACGCTGGGTTGTATGCTGATGGTTACATTGTTATTGTGTTACCATTATTATACTTTAAAATTGATTATGTATGCCGGGCAGGGTTCTCCCCAGGATGAAATTGAAACAGGGGGAGGGGGGAGGGGGAGGAGAAACTAGGGGTGTCCGGGTGCCTGGTCGAATGGGAATTCTTGCCGAGGTGGCCCCTCAATTGCCAGTAGCAGCAGCTATGGCAATTGCAGCAGCCTCCAAAGCCTGCTCAGCCTGTTCCCTGTTCCTCATGTAGTTTTTGACTATGCGCATGTGTGAACTGTTCAAAAGAGCTCTCTGCTGATTGGCTTAGCAGTAAGGGTGACCAGCCAATCACAGCGAAGCACACAAGTGTGCTTTGGTTACTGCTCGCAAAATGGCGGCATCAACAAACTATCGATTCCCGCGCTGTCAAACTTTTATTGTGGTGGAATTTAATCGGGGCGGAGGTAATTTAAACGTGGCGCAACGATTGAAACGGGGGGGAGTTTTCCCAAACGGGGCGGGCACGCCCGGTTTGCGCAACGTAGGGAGGGGCCTGCCGGGCTATATTTACAAAGTCATTGGGCAAACATCAGTAGTGCAAAGTACCTACAGTCTTTTGTGTGTATTATAAAAATAAATATAAGTTAAGCCAGTGCTAGGAAAATAACTGACATTTATAATATGATATGATTATTTAATTGGTATGGTGTAATAGTGAAGTGTGAAGTTAAGTATTGAAAACTTTATGATGTGGGTTTGCGTCTTTTGACTTTTGCGTGATGATCACCATTGTACTGTAGACCCTGCGTCTGTGAACAGTGCACTTTGGATCAACCATCTGATGAAAGTCTTGGTACACATAGCTGCTGCTATGTACTTGTAGCAAGTGTCTAACGATGGCTGTTTGTCATGTATTGGCTTCGCACATCGTCATTTACCGTTCTTTATTATAGTTTAAAATGTCTCGTGTATGCCGGCCTATATTTACAAAGTCATTTTATTAATGAATTCTTTACATGTAATGCGCGTGTGCTACATTCATTGTTCATGCGTAATGTGCGGTGCTTCATCCACATTATGCAGCCGAGCGGCAGACAATGATGTTCAGTGCCACGTTCCCCAACGAGATCCAGAACCTTGCGGCAGAATTCATGAACAACTATCTGTTCATCGTCATTGGCATTGTCGGCGGAGCGAACAGCGACGTCGAGCAGACAATATTTCAGGTTGAGAAGGGAGAGAAGCAAGACAAGCTGAACGAACTACTGAATGCGTCAGGTATGCTGCTGCATGACGCGTAGAACATACACAAATTCCCCAGTTAACGCTGTAGCTAGGTTCCTGCAAGTACATGAATTCCCCAGTTAACGCTGTAGCTAGGTTCCTGCAAGTACATGAATTCCCCAGTTAACGCTGTAGCTAGGTTCCTGCAAGTACATGAATTCCCCAGTTAACGCTGTAGCTAGGTTCCTGCAAGTACATGAATTCCCCAGTTAGCGCTGTAGCTAGGTTCCTGCAAGTACATGAATTCACCAGTTAACGCTGTAGCTAGGTTCCTGAAAATGTCTGCTTGAACTGTAGCGATCTGGCCTTTTCTTAGAGTTAACATCATAATGCCATTGTTGGCATGCTTGATTTTGTGCATGGTTTATGTGTGAATTTGTATATCTATTGCCAAGTTATTGATGGCAGCATTAACAATGAACTTTACCGTATGAGTATTGTACACACAATGCACTATTACAATAACTGTCACGTGATGAATGAGGTACGATTCGGACTAGAGTCTCTGAATCACCTGTTGAGAAAGTACCATTTTCTGATGGCAAATGGGAAAATCTGCAGTTGGCATTGGTAGTGGTTTTGTGTACAGAAGACTTTAATCTGATGCATTCGCAATCCAACTGGAGATTAAAATTTAAAATGTTGAAGGAAATATTTACCTTCTTTTCACAATGGAGCCGGCTGTATATTTTTATCAATAACCACGTTTATAATCAAACTGTCTCATTTAGTAATTTTCCCAAAAAACTCTGTTTGCTGTTCGCCAGTTCATATCATTGTACCTAAAATTCAATAGTAGGTTAATATTTTAACAAAATTATTGAATGTACTAGACACAATTACCTTCACTAAACCCTGATAACAGTGTTATGTTGTGATGTGATTGATTTCAAGTAAAATTGGCAACTGCTGATTTCAGGCAATGATCGTACGTTAGTCTTCGTCGAAAGGAAGCGAATGGCAGACTTTGTGTGTACGTGGCTGTGTCAGAACGATCATCCGGCTACGAGCATTCACGGGTGAGTACGTCGCATGTCATTACTCTCTAGCACGTCCAGTTATTTGTTGTGATACTTGGTGGGAAATCGTAGAGCCTTTAGCTGCACGCTGTGTTATTAAAGCTGTGCTATTACAGTTAACTGCCACATGATGAATGAGGTACGATTCGGACTAGAGTCTCTGAATCTCTTGTTGAGAAAGTACCATTTTATGATTTACTAGTTGCAAGGCAAGTACATTTGATTGAATTGGTCGGTGGGTGAACTGTGTGGATGGGTAGGTGGACGGATGGACGGATGGAAACAATACATCTTTTTACAAACTGAATCTTTATGTAAACTGCCTTTTCGCCGCGACCGTGTACCAGCCCCCGTCTCTCGTGATAACTGCTGCGTTCTTGTGTTTTGCAGCGACCGCGAGCAGGCGCAGCGCGAGGAGGCGTTGCGCGACTTCCGCTATGGTAAGGCGCGCGTGCTCGTTGCCACCCAGGTGGCAGCACGCGGCCTCGACATCCCCGACGTGAAGCACGTCATTAACTACGACCTGCCGAAGGAGATTGACGAGTACGTTCACCGCATCGGTCGCACGGGCCGCGTCGGAAACGTAGGGCGCGCCTCGAGTTTCTATGACAGCAGCGACGACGCCCACCTAGCCGGCGACCTCGTGAAGATCCTGAGCGACGTATGTGCCGAGATCTATCTACGTGTTGTTCTGCTAGTCGATTCGCTAGTAAACCATAACAATAACGATAGTAATAATTATAAGGCTAGTAATCAAGGATAATCATCTCGACATTTTTAGAGGTTATGTAGAAGGATCTCCGTAACCATGTATGCCATTGCTTGTCTGTAGAACGTGTGCGCTTGCTTTTTTCCCAGGCTCAGCAAATGGTGCCAGACTGGTTGCAGGAGGCAGCAAGTCATGGCGGTGGGGGCGGTGGTGGCGGCTACAGGGGAGGCGGCGGCGGAACCTTCGGTGGCAGAGACGTCCGCCGCGGGCAGGTGCGTGAATCTCGTAACGCCACGCTACGGTTTCATACCGGGCGTGTGTTGTGTCAGTCAATGCATAGTTTATGCATCCACTCATATATATGTAGACTAAATGATGTGTTCCTGTTTTGACTTGATTCTATAATTAGTTTGGTTCTGCTGTTTTCATTATCGGTTGAGTTACCCCCTGTAATATATGAATTCACTGAGCGTGCTGTGAGTGGTATTGGGGGCGTATATCCAGGGTTCTCAAGAGCACTTTAGCCGCCATGCTAAATATCATAGCCCCCGGACCCTCCTAGCACGCAAACCGCCTTCGGCGATTTGCAACTAGGACCGTAAAGGCAGCACCCGCCATGCTATAATGAAAAAGCTTGGAGAACCCTGATATCTATATAATACATATAGTTTAATAGTTGTATGTTAAGACTAATTTGAGCTAACAACGCTGTTTCGGCATTGGCCGGAGCCCTGGTTGGTGTGTGTGTGGTTCCACACGTCCTGGTACACATGTATTACTCTGTTTACACTGCGCCATCGCCACGATAGTTTCGTTCGCTTTTAACTCATTTCATGTCACTTCAGTACTTGCAGGGTATTTAGAACCTTATGTCCCGCTGAACTTGCATGGGAGTGATGATGCTCGTTGTTGTTGTTGTTGTTGGCGACAATTTTTCTGTCTTCTACTTTTAGTATGGCTCCAACTCAGGCAACGACTATGAAAGCAGCAGCGCACCATTTGGTTCCACGGCCGCTGCAGTTTCCGTGGCTGAGGTTTGGGACTGAAACTAGTCAAACGAGGTTGAGACACATTGTAGGACCTGTCCCCTGGCTATGCCGGTTACCACCTGGTTACTGGAATAAATGACAGTGCATTAATTTAGTTGAAGTTTTTTTAAACGTTATTGTTCGTAACCAATATATATATATATATACATACGAGTGTGCGCTGTTATTTGCCATACCTTAGTTTTGGCAATGTCCAATGTTATTTTTTGCAGCGGAGTGTAGTTGTGCTGTTTTGGGGGTCAACTTCATTAAAAGGGGCAGAATTCTATTCTTAATAGGCAGAATATCAATCTCAGCTGTTTCAGCCTGACCTATAAACACATTTGTCAAATGAATTTAGGTCCCGGTTGTAAACCAAGCAAGGTCTCTGCAAGGTGCGTACATTTACCAGTATTACTAAGTGCAGACGTGGCAGTGTCTTGCGTGCGAGAGAGAGAGAGAGAGCATGGCCGACAATTTGTTTCGAATGTCATGCGTGTGTGCATGTGGAGTCGCTGTGTGAGTGGCTGACTGGCTGATAGTCACGGTGGGTGCTGTTGGTGGGTTGTCATGTTACTTGTGCTCGGCAGCACAGATGCACCCCCACGGAGGTCATTTGTGCTGCCAATAGGGAGAAACTGAAGGGTACCTGCGAGACATTTGCCAGCACAGCTTTGCACGTGTGTGGTGCTGGTATAGCTTGTGGCATGTGTGCCGTCTTGGCTACCCCGAGAGGCAGACTGACAGACTTGGATGTGGTAGTAGTTAACACATTAATGATAGCAGCTCACGATGTTGGAAGCCTTGAAAATCTGACTGACGTCGTGTTCCTTGTGAGTAGTATCAAGAGCATATAAAGAAGGAGAGCGTACAACGGTGAAATGCTGAAACCATGTTGCAGTATTAGTCGAATAAATAAACTTTCTCCATTTTATTTTGACGATTCTTTGCAGTATTATTGATCAGCTGTCCTACCTACCTTGCTAATATAAAACAAACCGCTTGTCCCTACGATGAGATAATGAGCGGTGAAAATCTGGTTTTTTCGCCGAAAACCGAATCGGATGACTAGGCACTGCGACCCTCTCTCGCTTTAAGATAACTTCGGGGGACCTCCCGTGTTTCCGTCAATGATTGACAAATGGAATGAATGACGTCTGTTATTGATTGTCATAGTGGTGACCCCCACCTGTGCCCACCTCGCGCCCACCTCACGCTGGATGTATACTAAACCGGTCGCCGGCAACCGGAAGCAACACACTGGCCACAAAACGAGAGACAGCCGCAGTGCCTAGTCATCTGATTCGGATTTCGATTTTTACCGCTCATTATCTCAGCGTAGGGGCATCGTAGGGACAAGCGGATTGTTTTATATTAGCAAGGTAGGACAGCTAATCAATAATGCCGCAAAGAATCGTTAAAATGAAACTGGAAAGTTTATTTATTCGACTAATACTGCAACATGGTTTCAGCATTTCACTGTTGTACGCTCTCCTTCTTTATACGCTCTTGGTAGTATCAATGATCTCAGGGAAAACACCAAATGATTCTCTTTTTTTTTGGTGAGACGAAACTGTGCCAAAAAATATTGTACGTATTGTAAATAGGTTCGAGCGATGGGTTTTTCAGATATCGTAGCCGGAAGTCGTTAATTGACATTATGCGACGTTTACAACAAAACATTCCATGCATACTTGTCATTTCAAGTGTCTTTATCTTCTGTGATAATCAGAAATGCTGCTGATATAATATGACTGATATACTATGGCACTCTGCGGTCTCAGGTCGTGCTGTGTGTTTCTCCCTTACTCTGGAGATCGGTGGAAGAGATTAGTGTGACGTGTGGGTGTGGTGGAGACTCGAGAGTCGCGCATGCGTGAAATGCACTCATTGTTCTTGCCTCTGCGAGCAAGGGAGGAAAAACGAAAGCGCCGTTATTACTTTTCATTAGACTAGTCTTTGCGATACATTCTGCTGTGTGCATGCCTTATGGCTGTTGTAGTAGTGGTAGTGATGATAACGATATGCAAGGGTAAATGTGTGCTGTTTGTATCAGCGTTCAAACCTGTCATGTATGCCACTAACCAGTTGGCAGTTTCCATCCCCTCGATCTCTTTCTGCGCCATATCCTCGAAAGTTTTCTTGTATTCCGACTTAAGCGCATGGCAATAATTTGGCATGTCAGAGCTGGTGGTTACGCTGTCATGACACAGGGGGGGGGGGTCGCTTCGCGGCCCGTGTCGCAGTCTCTGCAATCGATGCCGTGGCCACTGACTACTGTCCCAGTTTCTTAACACGTAATCTTGCTTAAATTATTTCCCTCGTGTATGGTCTTCTAGGAGTGGAGAAGCGCACGTGTCTGCTGTGTGAGTGTAAGTGGCACTTGCTATGTGCACAAATACATGATAACAATACTCCTGGGTGTCACTGTCGAAAAGGCGACGAGTTGTTCTTCCAACTGACCCAGTTTTCAGCATTATTTTTTGTGAAATCGTCGTTATATTTATGCTATGCTGCGTTTAATATTAATAAGAACTAAATAAAAAACTGCATTTAGAACCTGTCGGTGTGTCGTGGGCTATGCTCTGAACACATGTAAAACATAGCGTTCATGGTTACACTAGCCTGACACTTGAGAGATTATGTGTGTATACAGTCAACTGTTTCTTAGAGCTAGGCTTGTCCCATTGCATGTGCTGCTTCTAATGACGGTAACTAAAGTTTGGCTTTTCGGATTTTGTTTTGACGCTTTAGTCGAGGGGCTTATGATAACAAATGTAAAATTATGTTGGTGGGGGTGAGAAAAGTGGTGATGGTCACATCTGGAAATAAATCAACATCAATCGTGCAGGTTTGAAAGCAAGTAGTTAACTTCTAATTACTATTGAACAAGGAAAATTTGTGTAGTATAATTAAAACCCATTTTAGGCATAGGTAATGTTGAAAGTTGCACACTAGTGTTCTCCATTAACCCAGTTCGTTTGTGTCGCGTTCCAAAGTTGTGCTCTGCTCAAGTTTTTCGGTTGTAGGCTGAGGTTATCACGCAACCTGTGTGCCGTGTGTACTCTTCACTATTTTTATATATCCTTTGCACGCGATTTATAAGAAAGCATAAATTGTATGTTGAAACAATGGTTTCTATGCTACATGAAAAATGAAAGGACGTGACATGGAAATGATATTCCAGCTTGAGTGGACATCCATTGCATCCCTATTGTACGTGAAATATGAATGTACTGCGTATATAGATAATGTGTCAATAATAAACCATGTTCCATCGTGTTTCCTTCACCGATTGTTTGGTGTGTTATGTCCGACTAAACTAGATTTTTAACAGTAACTCCTCGCCGAAATCTTCAACTAATTTATCAAAAGAAAATGTCCCACTGTCTTTATCACAAACGATCATAATCGGTGTATTAAGTTCGAGATTTAATGCAGTAAGTTTTATAAAATAAAAGTATTTATTTATAGTATTTCGTTAGAGACGTTAGTAACTCTCCAGTGACACTACCACGTGGGTCACATGGTGTTATGCATTTCACTATCACAGATATTCTTCTCAATTACGGTACAATGTAGACATGATTTACAAACACAAAGTAACCCTGGCTGGATTCACAGTACAGGAAGCATTACTCTGCTATTGGCACTTACTGGATCAACGATGAACAACCTGTCTTTAACTGGAATCACTTTGGACTGTATCCTTTCCCTGCAAAATATGACATAACACACATTTTAACGTGGGAGTCTAGGAGAGCTTTCGTTGAGTTATTCGCAATGTTCCACTGATATCTTGTGTTGGTACTAATAAATATATGCATGTGACAGCATCGTGTGTGTGTACGGGTATTGCTGCTTATTAATAGTCTGTTTGATATAGAAACTGCACTATGATTACGTGACATTGATAGGCACTCGATAACAAATCCAATTAAGTAATCCGTAGGTAGCAGGTATGGTCAATTACTTGGATTTATTGGGTATAATACTTGGATTGAAAAATAAAATTACTCCTTAAAATTATCATGAAATCGGACTAATTTACCCTCTCCCCTCCATTAAAAACTGCTCACCTTAGGAATTTGTCTGAGACGGGTCCCGGACGGGAGGATCCAGAGTTGAAAGCGCTGCACATGCCGTTCCTATGCTGCGACTCTTGCCATCGCTGCAGCTGGTAGCGGCCTGGCCCGACGCTGTTCTACATAGAAACACACGTGCTATTGTTCAATGAGTAATACATCTCGTACCGTCCTGGCCCGATGATGTAACTACATCGACAGCTAGTGAGGCCACAATTAAAAAATCTTTGTTTGCTCTCACCCGACCCAGGCTGAAAAGTTTGGGTAGGTAGGTAGGCTTCTTCTTTTGCGGGCCGGTCGGGTGAGGGCGAACATACAATATTTTTATTATGGCCCGAGATAGCCCAGGAGGAAATACTACATTTTCAGGAGTAATAATTTCATATATTATATGTTCATTTTTACGTGACTTCACTTCATTTTATGTATGTCGCTACATTCTCTAGTCATTTTATTAATTTCATATTATATAGTCTACATTTCCCATACGAATACATTTAATTCTATATCACTGCATTTTCAACATCTAACTCATCATCATCATCATGTTTAAACTAATAATTTAACTTCGTATTAGATTATTTTATACTAACTTTCTGCCCATCCGACCTGACCCAAGATAGGTAATTCTGCTATCGTGGTATACTCACAAAGTTCTTGGTGAAGAAGATTTCTGCCTTTTTGTCGTTGCGGGTTGTGGAGGAGAGGAACCCCGGGGAGTTAATCACAGCGTTGCATGTGCGTCTCACATCTCTCGCTGAGTAGTGCGTTGGTCCCGGTTCCGTCTGTCGTCACATCAAGATAGCAGGGAGTTATTATTGCGATCATCATAACTATAGTTGACTAGCAGTACCCATCATATCTCCACGATTTGGTATACATTATCATAACTTGTACATACAATTGCTTAGTAGTGACTTATACATATAATCGCTTAGGAGTGACTTGTACGTATAAATGCTTTGGTGTGACTTGTACGTATAAATGCTTTGGCGTGGCTTGTACGTATAAATGCTTTGGAGTGACTTGTACGTATAATTGCTTTGGAGTAACTCAGGCACGTAAAAGGTTTGGAGTTCCTTGTACATATAATTGGTTTAGAGTAACTTAGACATATAAATGGTTTGGAGTAACTTGTGTGAATGAACAGTACCTCGTTCCTAGGACACTGTGAAAGGCAGGAAAAATAGATCCTCTCTGAAGGCGATCGTTGATACTGCTCCACCTTGCTGAACGTTCCCTTGTGACTGTTCTGACTTGAGTGCCACTCCTCCAAGAATGAATTCAGCTCATAGTGGCCAGGGCCAAGATTTCCAGCTAACTATAAACACGAATAAATCAATTCATTGTAAGTGAACATGTATTTTTGCAGTGAACCCTATATGTGCAACCACACCTTATGTGCACCAACAAGTTATTGCAATTGTTAGACGTGATGAATATATAGCAAATTGTCTAGAATGGTTGAGTCAATTTCCTGTTGTTTCCTATTTCACTCAGTATATCATGTGGTGTAATGCATGGTTCTACTTTCCTCCCAACTTTGGGTAACTTGGCCAATGACATATAGGGGAGGAGCCACCCGAATTGTTCAGTCTTAACGATTTCTTGATAAAATGCACATGTATGCAGGTGCTCCCTGATCTCTGGTAGTAACAGAGGTTGAGAAGGATAAACACACACGCACACACACACGCGCACATACACATATATATACTAGTCGCACACTTACGTTTTTAGCATAATGACCAGTGGTCAGGGGCTTATCTCTCTCGCCTGTGTAGATGTCGTATGGACCGCGAAGACTTGTGACCTGTTTGGCCAATCTTCCAATGAAGCACTGAGAACTGTACGTGCCTGGTCCTAGGTCTGACCCCTGCAATGGTTTATAGTATCATAGAATTATTGAATTTATAGTATTAATCTATATACTTCAGCCATAGATAAATTATTATGTAAATTTGAGACGTGGCAATTGACCTATCCATCTGGGTGAGGTAACCTTGTCCCAAGTGGATGTTGTTGCTATAGGGCCCCCGATTTGTATGTGTTTTTTCATGCGCTAAAATTTCCACTTTGCAGCACTTCATTTCCAAGCATTGCTTTTAGAATGCCCCTATAGAAACGTTTATTGGCTAAAGCTGGTTGCCAATGACTCTGGGCAGATCAATCATGGGACAGATGTTTAATGATACTTGCCACGCCAGGCAGGGTTCTCGGTGTACTGGAACCAGCGTCTAGCAAGCCCACGGTACTCGCTGACCGCATGGCCTTCTCTTCTAGAAGCGTAGATGGGATGCCTGCCTTGCCATATGTTCCAGGACCTGGTATGTTCTGTATAAACCAAATTTAAAAACCAAGATACTTTAACAGATTTTTTTTAAACACTAAAAACTTAGTAACTAAACATGGCTGCCATATGAATGCACATTAAATAATATATCAAATCAACAATAGATCCATTCAGACTATGGTATTTGAATGTTTTCATATTGATACCTTATCATTGTCCTTGAATCTACACTCTTTACTCTGACAGACTCCCAGTACACTTCTGGGTTTCTGGTGTAAGACTTCAAGAAAATCCTGAATTTCGTATGTACTTGGGCCTAATTTACGTTCCTACAGTGAGAAATATGTTGTAGGGACAGTGCATGGTAGCCTATAAACCTGTAGAAGAGAAGGTCTTTTAAATGGACATTGCTTGTTATATACAACGATTCTACCCTCTCACTACAACAACTAGCTCTAGTAATATAGCCCTTGTTGGCTGCTACAGGCACACAGACCTGCAAACGAGCCAACGACGGCTACTAACTAGTGCAGATAAGGTCTATGTCCCCCTGACCTCTGTTTGACCTGGCTCGTTTAGCTATTTCTGACTATATATATATATATCAGGAGTAGATAATAGGGAAGGAGTGTGACATCAATAAACAAGGGAAATTCGTCATTTACTAGCCTTATAATACCTACGATTTACTACGCGTAACTCATCCAACTTGAGCTCAAATCGGACACAGTACATTCGCCTAGCATCGTGCGAAATCGTTTCCTCGTATACACCCGCAATCCGGAGATACAGACTAAAACGTACGACACGATTCTCTATTCTTTGGCCATCAATCCAAAGCCATTGCGTGCCTCTAATTCAAACAAAAGGCAGCTACCTAACGCGCTATTGCTAACTCGGCGAGGCATGTGGCTCACTGGGAGATTAGGCATCAACACTCGGCGAGATAACCTTTGACCCGGTACACAGCTACACAGGCCACCTCTGCACATACCTGGCATGCCTTCACGCACGCACGCCAACGGCAATCAGCAGCAGCTGATCGGGCTCAAATCTCCCAGCGAGCGACATTGCCCGCCGAGTTAGCAAGCTGTGGTTAGGTAGCTGCCTTTTGTTTGAATTAGAGGCGCGCAATGGCTTTGGATTGATGGCCAAAGAATGGAGAATCGTGTCGTACGTTTTAGTCTGTATCTCCGGATTGCGGGTGTATACGAGGAAACGATTTCGCACGATGCTAGGCGAATGTACTGTGTCCGATTTGAGCTCAAGTTGGATGAGTTACGCGTAGTAAATCGTAGGTATTATAAGGCTAGTAAATGACGAATTTCCCTTGTTTATTGATGTCACACTCCTTCCCTATTATCTACTCCTGATATATATGTATAATATATAATATATATAGGGTTAGGGTTAGTCAGAAATAGCTAAACGAGCCAGGTCAAACAGAGGTCAGGGGGACATAGACCCTACGAGAGCTACTAGTTATACTGTTACAATAGTATACAATGTCATGCCTATGAATGTAACACAAATATTCTTGCATCTATGCTGTGTTTGATGCTAAGAATGAGTTTGTTACAATGTTTTTCTTGTGTTTCCATTGCTTTCGATGACGGATGTGGGGGAGCTGAGAAAATTGGGCCATTTCATATTGTCTTTGCCACCCTGGGCCCGTCGCATTCTGTTGTATGGTTGCTGGGTTGAAACTTCCAATCTCTATGTCATAACTGCCTGGTCCCAATCTTCGCATCTAAGAAGTTAATCTGTGTGTAAAGCTCATTCAACACGGGAGCAATTACAACATTCGATACTGAGGCTGAGAGGGTCTATGTCCCCCAGGGTACTGCTGGAACATACCCTGGTACTATCTAATATGCCGGACCGTACCTCGCCTACTCCACTAACGAGTATAGGGAGTCGCCTACGCCTACACCCTATCCTTAATTCTAACCCTAACCCTAACCACATCAAATAGTTACCAGGGTCTGTTCCGGCAGTACCCTGGGGGACATAGACCCTATGAGCGATATTGAGCAATGCAGCTATTAAATGATAAAATAAATTTTAAAATCAAAGTTTGTACTCCAAACGCATTCAAGGTCTTATTACTATTAGTAATAACGAGGTCATATTCTATTTCTACACTAGTGTGTGGCTATAGTACCTGTGTTGTTGTAGATCGTTTGTCATATGACACCTGGATAAATGTCCCTGGCACTTTATTTGTTGGATGAATGGCCGTGACATCGAATCTGAAATCATATGAGCCACATAAATTCATAATTACTTAATTATTTAGTTTTACTGTTTCATATGAAACCAACCTATAATCAATAAAGTCTAGTTAGGCTATAGTAGTAGTGTAATTTATATATATAATATATATTATTATAATAATTAATACATATATTAATTATTACATAATAATGATAAGTATAATATAAATAATAATATATTATATATCATAATTTCATTATAATATATTAATAATAAGGGGAGTGGATAAAAACTGTATTTTTTTACTTCTGCATGGTTCCTGATAGTGATATATATGCATATATTATATATATATATATGTTATATAAATGCCTATGGCTATGGCTCAGTTTCAGGATATCGTCACCTTGCTGTTTGAACCCCAAATGGTGCGCCTCTGAAACGTTTTACGGCCATTGGTGGTGGTGGCTGGTGCCTGGTGCCCGGTGGTGGCCTACGTCCGAAAACTGACGAACAAGCACTGAACTTGAAGCAGCGAAGTCGAGACGACCGCAGTTTTAGACTACATATACGACTATATGATCACGACATATAGCTGAACATCAGACTTGTCACTGCAAAGTACCATTTAATAACCTTACTCATCGGTAAATTTTGTAGTTAACAACCTAAAAGTTGTATTTCACTTTGCAGCACGCGAGTTTTTAAATCGTAGGATGGCGACTAAAGATTGATAAATTATTCGTGCTTTAATACCTTGCCCCTAACCCTAACCCTAAACCTAACCCTAATCAGTCATCATCCTACGTCACCATCAGTTACCGTCCTATCCTTCAGTCGCCATCCTACGATTTATAAACTTGCGTGCAGCACTAGCAGACAAAAATATTGCTTGTTGCCACCATTTGGTTGCCACCGCAACATTGATTAGTTACGCGCATAATGCGGATGGCAAAGTTGGTGATAATATAAATAAACACCAATATGATCAGTTTTTCTGATATTTCACATTATGTATACAACATCACTATCATAAATAATTCATATTCTAATTTATATCTTTAAAATATAGTAATGGTTCGTTGGTGTTTAAATCCGAAATCACTCCGCGTTTTCGATCCAACGGCGAAAGCAGAGTGTTCACTGCATGTCGTAGATCTATTCGAGAAGACGTGTGCTGTCTGCTAAGTCAAGTTTGTAGGACAGTAGATCGCTCACATTTGCGTACTAAGCCACAGCTAGTGGTAAGTAAATTATATCGACGCAGGTTATTAGACATGGGGCATATAAGGATGTAGCAGTGAAGTTAAAACAGTAGCAGTGACTTTGAGATGTGACAGTGACACTGACAGTGACAGTGCATGTGACAGTTAATTCACTACTCACTAGGGCTCATAGGGTCTATGTCCCCCAGGGTACTGCCGGAACGTACCCTAGGTACGGTCCGGTATACCGGAACGTACCCTGGTCACTATTTGATATGGTTAGGGTTAGGATTACGGGTAGGGTTAGGGTTAGTGTTAGGGTTAGGGTTCGGGTTAGGGAGTAGGCGTAGGCGACTCCCTAGACTCGTTAGTGGAGTAGGAGAGGTACGGTCCGGCATATTATATAGTACCAGGGTACGTTCCGGTATACCGGACCGTACCCAGGGTACGTTCCGGCAGTACCCCGGGGGACATAGACCCTCTCAGCCTCACTAGGAGGATTGAGCAAACGACAGAGGCACGGCATTGGCCATTGATGATTGATCTACCGTACAGCCCGTACATCCATACGCTTACTATCACTATATCTAGCTTGCGTAGGTTACACATGCATGTGTAGATATTAGTGAGATTTGCTTACCTCGGACTAGCTTATGAAACTGTACACTACAACTACAACTTACAAGTAGTGAGTACAATAGTCAATACGCTTTCTAAATTTTGTCCATAACTTAGGCTCATAGGGTCTATGTCCCCCAGGGTACTGCCGGTACGTACCCTGGTAACTATCTGATAGGGTTAGGGAGTAGGCGTAGGTGACTCCCTAGACTCGTTAGTGGAGTAGGCAGGTACGGTCCGGCATATTAGATAGTACCAGGGTACGTTCCGGGCCTTCCGGCTGTACCCTAGGGGACATAGACCATCTCAGCATAACTTACTACTTAATGCAGTTTCTTCTATGTTAGAATTGCAACATGAATTTTTTATCATTCACCTGCATTGTGCTTCAGTTTTAGATTACTGGTTTCTCTGTTGCTTAGTCTTCACACTTGTGCCAAAATGGCTGCAACCGCAAGACATGAGAAAGATATGCAGGAAAAGGCCAAACGTGCACTAATGACAGCAACAGATCCACTGGACAAGCTGAGGCAGCAGTGTTTGGCACGAGGAGCTACGGGAATTAGCAGCTTAGGAAGGTGTGTCTTATTACGCGGCCACCTGCTCATTAGCAAACGGCTAATGAAAGTAGTTTATTCTGTAGCAGAAGTATTTTGATAATTGAGTTTATATGTTCTTGTGTAGCAAGACTATATATCAATCGATCATCTAACTAAGGAGCATAACCTAATAACTTGACCAAGTCTAGACACTGATCCAGACCCAGATCATTGCCATGCTTGTTATGCTAAATTATGCATTTAAAAAAAAAAACATTTTGCTTGTAAAAATATGACCACTTCAGGGGAGCGTTAACAACAAACGTTTGTTGCAGAACATTCCGTTTGTTTGATGACGACGGCAGTAAGCGCTTGGATATTAATGAGTTTCGGAAGGGAATGCACGACTACGGAGTCCAGCTGAAGCCAACTGAGGTGGAGGAGCTGTTCAATCTAGTCGATTCAGATAACAGTGGTTCGATAAACTACGAAGAATTTCTGATGGTAGTCCGGGTAAGTTGCTCAAGCTAGAACATTCTCTACTGGTGATATCTACTTGGGTGATTCTTATATGGGTGTTCAAACTATCGTATTGTGTAAATGTTTAGTACGTTGTTAGTCAATCTATCTGTAACAACTTTTTCGTAGGCAATTCTTAAATATTGATTCAAAGCAGTTTGATTGAATACTTGGGGAGCTACCATGTGTGGATGCACGCGCATACTTCATCGCTGCTCTCAATCTGCTACGTTGTCCCTTAGCCGCCGATGTCGAAGGCGCGGGTGGACATCATCAAGAGGGCATTTTCCAAGCTCGACAAGACGGGCGATCACGTGATCACAATGTCCGACCTCAAGGGCGTCTACAGCGTTAAGCAGCATCCCAAGTACCAGAACGGTGAGATGACCGAGGAGCAGATCCTCACGGAGTTCCTCAACGTATTCGAGAAGGACGAGAAGACGAGAGATGGCATTGTGAGTACGCTTGGTAGTCACGGGTAGCAGCCCGTCATCCTGCCCCTCCTTTGCCCGGTCTGGGGCCGCTAACTTTAAAGTGGGACAGGTCTAGTTTTATGGATTTTTACTATCGGTTATATAGTAGAAATTGAGATTTTTGGAAGCGGGAGTGGGCTGGTTTTTCAAACTTATTTTACAAGACTAGCTACACTCTTCCCTTTTCAAGTAGAGTGGTTAACTGTCTTTAACTTATTGAAAGGCAGCAACTTGAGTAGACTGGTTCCTTTTTCTTAAGTCACATTAAGGACAGGAAAGAAAACTTGAAGAACGCCTCTCCGAAGTTGTGCCATTCTTGTCTCAACTTTCGGTTGCCGTTTGTATGCACAGGGGATAAGCTATGGACAGGGAACACGTCTAACTCTATGCCTGACCCTTGGCTTAGTGGCACCCAGTCATAGGAGGCGCTGGTGTGAAGTTCCTCAATTCTCTAATTCCCACGACACTTGGAATTGCCTCAAGTCTCCAACTAACATAATTTTTTATAAGTCATTATCCAAAAACTTGCCTACTAGTAAGTCGGTCGTGTCTGCCAAATGAAAGAAATGACCGTATTCTAGGTGGATTTGATTCAGCAACGAGTTAAAGGAACTGCAATTTGCAAAGCATTTTCCCTCACAATGTGCAGTGTGTGTGTGTGGGGGGGGGGGCTACTGTTCTGTGTCTGTGGATGCATCCCACTGCATGTATTCATTCATTGCTCGTGTGTGGTCAGTAAGTATTGTCAGTATGCCGTTTTCTGCATGTGGTGTTATAATTTATATGACAGCATATATCTGTGTCTCGGGGGCTCAGTCGTGTCTGAGTTCTTTCGTCCTTACTTTGTCCGCTTTCTCGTGTTTGAACGAATATTCTGTGTGCTGTAGGAATAAACTAGGAATCTATATTTAAGTAGTTGGCACCGTGGAACGTTTTACAGTAGGATATTTGGCAATGGTAAAGAGGTAAAGATGGTTGTTTTGTGTTGCAAAGTGATTTTGTACACGTCTTTGTTTTCGCCCATGTCAAAGAATTACAAAAACATTTATTAAACACAACATGTATCGTTACTCCTAACTATATCCAAACATAATTACGATATAATAGCATATAATGCTATAATGGTAAATAAGTTTTCCCCTAAATATCATTTAGACTCGGTTAAACTTCTAGCAATGAGTAGACTAGTTTTACCATTCAGCTAAACACGGCTGCACACAATGAACACAATACACACTAAACGCTAGTATTGATTCGTAAAAAACGGCAACAGCAAAAACTACAGAGATGTAAATGGAGCTACGTCATTTAGCATAGGCACATGGCCATGTATATACTTGGAAGCAAGCCAAAATGGGGGCGGCGTGGCTGGCACTCGCACATTGATTAGTGTAGCTGTTACAGGTATAAATAAGGCAGCATTAATCATCGATGATGGGTGCAGAGATGAAAGAACATGCTTGGCATGTTCACGAACATCTGTAAAAACCTTGAAGATACACATGTAAAACATACAGTAAACGTTGACTTAACTTTTTCTTCGTCTTCTTCTTCTTCTTTTTCATCATCATTCTGTTCGATCTTCTTTTTTCTTCTTATATATTCTTTTTCTTCTTCTTTTCTTCTCATTCTTTTTCTTCTTCTTCATCGTCATTATCATCTTAATTGTTCTCCTTCTTCTTCTTTTTCTTCTTCTTCTTCTTCTTCTTCTTCTTCTTCTTCTTCTTCTTCTTCTTCTTCTTCTTCTTCTTCTTCTTCTTTTTCTTCTTCATTTTTCGTCTTGGCCAATCGTGTGGAGCACAATGAATAAAGAGTGTAATAGCAGCTACTAGAAAAAGATTTGGATTAGAGGTGCGAGCGTGGATGGTGCAGTGCAGGTGGTACGCGAGAGCAGTTGTTGTGTATGCGTAATAGCACCAGCCATGATGTAACGCTGCTGCTAGCACCGTCGCTCGTCTGCTGCTGCTTCTATTAATTATATCCTTGGCATGAGGATGCAGGGACGCAGCCGTCTGCTGTGTGGATAGCGCTGCACACTCCGCTGTAATGAATAAGTAATCCAGTCAACATGTATCGATTCTCGCTAGCTAGTGTAGCTTATACCGCGGAATTCATCACGCGCACACACTCACGCACACTCACATGACTATAGTTATTTCACTAGTACATGAGAAGAGTAACTGCCTATTTACGCGACAGCCACATGTACGTTTTCCCCACAATTAGTGCATTCGTGCCAAAAAAATCGGTCTGTTCTATGATCACTTGAGGTCGACAGCAAGCGTTTGCTATCTGTAATGAGCAGGTAAATCGTAGAGCTGTAAGCGCAATCATGCGGGTAGCAAAGCAAGCTGCAGCTAGTCATGGTTAGCAGTGAAGCCTAACGGCCTGTTATTATCACCGTGGTTTCATCAAAGGTCACCTTCATTCACCCTTGAAAATATCTCCCTAACCCTAACCCTGTCTCGTTATAATGTGCATATGACTAGGATTAACGTTATAAACGGGCGTTATGTTAATGATATTAATTAACTTTAAACTTCAGGGGATAATACTGTGTGACATTATGAGAAAAATCAGCGTCAATTTTTCTAAAATTGTCTGGCGCATTTCTGGATTACTACGAACATTTTGGGATTTTATAATAATGCTACCTTGCTTGCACCGTACGTACATCTATAAGATTTGTGGGGAGGTGATACAGTTTTAAAGTAACGTCATAACAAACGTCGTCGGTTCATTAACGTGCGCGTGTCTGCGTGCGCGTGTGTGTGTCTGACACACAGCTTCAGCTAGAGAATCTCTGAACGTAGTAGTAATGATAGAAAGTCCCTTCTCACGTGAATCACTACAAAAGTTTATTATGTTAATTTCCTTTTAAAAATATTGCGTTTACAATTTCACCCGATTCTGATTTCGATAGTTTTAAACTTTCTTTCTCTGTGTCGCTTTCTCTCTCGCTCTCTCTCTCTCTCTCTCTCTCTCTCGCTCTCTTTCTCTCTGACTCTCCTTCCTCTAGCTCTCTCCTCTCTCTCTCTCTCTCTCTCTCTCTCTCTCTCTCTCTCTCTCTCTCTCTCTCTCTCTCTCTCTCTCTCTCTCTCTCTCTCTTTCTCCTTCTCTCGCGCGCGCTCTCTCTATCTATCTATTCATCTATTTATCTCTCAGGCGCTTTCTCTCTCTCTCTCTCTCTCTCTCTCTCTCTCTCTCTCTCTCTCTCTCTCTCTCTCTCTCTCTCTCTCTCTCTCTCTTTCACTCACTCTTTCAGGTTGACACGCTCCAATTTTGCGCGTGTTTGCGTTGTTGTGTATGAGCAGCTGCGTAGATCGTGCAAATAAACCTGCCCTTTGGCGTTTAGCAAAGTTTAATTTCACAGACTGTTCATGCACGCGGTTGAACGCACCTCACAAAACCCATGAAAGCAGCACCAAACAGACAGTATGCGCTATATGGTTCCGTTATTCATGATCACCAAGGTAGCATCGGCAACTGATGAATTCTTCACATTGCGCTGACAGTATGCTACGCCTCATATAGATTATAGCATGGCCTGACTCCGTAGATCGCGCGCCTTACTACTATTATGTGTGATATATTGCTCTATAATTCCTGTCCTATTTCCTTACAATACATGGTCACCATCAGCAATACGGCTTGCTAGCCGTGCTGGTACATCGATACACCTATCGATTGGTATAGATTGATCGATGACGTACTTGCTCTAAGCTAGCTAGCAAGCTATTGCTGACTTGACTGTTCGTCTGGTATAGACCTGAAAATCGCTACACTACCTGGTAACCATGACAACTGAGCACGCCGCACGTGTGTCATTGTACATTGGTCGCGTGAGTGATACAGCAATATAAGATGTAGAGTGATAATACCTTATTATTAGCTTTGATAAGATGTAGAGTGATAATAAAGTATAGAGGGTGGTGTACAGTATAGTACAGAGTGCGGTAGAGTGATTGAAGCGGTGTTTGAAGGAGGGATAACAAATTGTGGTGGAGGGATCATTGTAGTATCGGAGGATGAAAACTAACTTGTAAAAATTTTGTAGATATGAAAACTAATAGTATTTTCATAAATTTTATTTTGTAAAAATTAACACATAAATTGATAATTTGTCATTGCTATTTATGCGGACATGATCACTTTACAGTGATGGTTTCTTTATACTACTGGGGGATATGGGCAATCTAGGTGCCGTGCTTCTACCCCTTTATCAGTTATAGGAAGATGTGGGTAGAATGTCCAGTTGATGGAATCGTGGTATATATATATATGTGTGTGTGTGCGTGCGTGCGTGCGTGCGTGCGTGCGTGCGTGCGTGTGTGTGTGTGTTACTATGTGTGTGTGCGTGCGTGCGTGCGTGCGTGCGTGAGTGCATGTGTTGTCTCTCTGTTGTTGCTTATGTGTATCATAATATTACGTGGTGGTTGGAATCGTGGTATATGTATGTGCACCTAACTCTATGTTGTTGTTTATGTGTATCATAATATTACTTGGTGGTTGGAATCGTGGTATATGTATGTGCACCTAACTCTATATGTTGTTGTCTATATGTATCATAATATTACTTGGTGGTTGGAATCGTGGTATATGTATGTGCACCTAACTCTACGTTGTTGGCTATATGTATCATGATAAACACATGGTGGTTGGAATCGTGGTATATATGTACTCTTTGCTCTGTGGTACTTGCATCCTCATGCATTGTCTACTCACACTATATGCATCGTGTGTGTATATACGTGGTGGTTCACACCGCGTGTTTGTATCCAGCTTTCTATTCCTTTCATATGCATCTGCACGTATTATTTCATATGCCCAATTTGCTTTGCTTATTAGCTTGTAGTCTAGTGTTATATTCATTGCACACATATTTGATAATACGCTTGGCCCAAAATATATGACTTATATATACTAGAAAAAATACATGACTACTATCATGAACATATGTATACTAGTGTAGATATGTTCTTGCAACTGCGTTCGAATAGCAGTGATGTATTTTTTTTATCTTAAGCGATGTAAATGTCTAACGCTGTTGGCTGGTTACATGTGAAGGGCTCGTCTATGTGTACTCAATGACTTTTTGAAGTACGTTAGTTGGAGCATAAATGATTGTATTGTAGCGTTTAATGCAGACAAATATTTCAACTCTCTTTATTATTTTCGGTTAAATGAGACAATATCGTTGTCACGTTCGAGTCTTTACTGCTTAATGGCAATAATAAGTTAATGTCAACTTGATTTTGAATACTTGCTGGTGCACGTGTATCATGGCTGCCATCGTAGTTTCTGCTCCTACGGTGTCTACCATGAACCCAAGCAAACATCAGGAGCACACACACAGGCGCACGCACGCACGCACGCACGCACGCACGCACGCACGCACGCACGCACGCACACGCACGCACACACACACACGCACGCTTATATATATTCATGCTAACATCTGCCATGCCTTTTCTTGCGTGTCGTGTGACTGTATTGAGCAGTAAAATGACAATTTAACCGAAAACAAAAGTAAGAACTGAAATATTTGTGTTAATTCTCGCGGTTTGGAACAAAAAATTGTTGTGATCTATATTTAAATTTTTCATAATTTACTTGAATAAATTAAGTTAAATTAATATTCAAGTATTTCCCTCGTACATCTATGCTCACTCACTTGGTATCGAATCGAGATAAGTATTGCTAACATTGTTTGAATAATGATTAATATAAGGACACGCTCACTCTGCACTCGCTTTATTGCTTATCATTATTGTTATTTTTGCCGCCATTTATTTACGCTTCCACGCGTGTGGCCTGCCTCTATCACAGGTCACCGGGGAGGAATTCATGAATTACTACGCAGGCGTCAGCTCCTCCATAGACACTGACTGCTACTTCGACCTGATGATGAGGAACTCGTGGAAGTTATAAGGCAGGTACAGCCAGGTCCGTGTCACAGCACTGATAAATATCACTGCGTGCGTGCATGCGCGCTTGCGAGCGTGCATGCACACGTGCGTGCGTGTGTACATATGTACGTGCGTGCGGGCGTGTGTACGTTCGTGCGTGCGTGCGTGTTTAGGTGCGTGCATGCGCGCGTGCGTACCTACGTGTTTGGTATTTCCGGCGACAGTGGCTGCAATCAGTCACACTCCTGCCTGCTCACAGACAGATATTATCAAGAGCGTATTAAGAAGGAGAGCGTACAACGGTGAAATGCTGAAACCATGCTGCAGTATTAGTCGAATTAATAAACTTTGCCCATTTTATTTTTACGATTCTTTTTAGCTCATCTGACATAGTCAGATGCAGCTTGTAGAATCGCATGATCGTCCGTGCGTCCGTGCATGCCGTCGGTCGCGTCCGTCCGTGCGTCCGTCCGTCAACAGTTGGGCACAAATCTTAACCGCTCGACCGTACGGTCACGATATCGGGACGTGGGGGGTAATCCGAAAAACGAGTTGGGATGTCGAAGCTGGGGTCAAAGGTCAAAGGTCAAGAGGTGTAAAAAGGGGGAACATTCACTCCTAACTTAAGTATAGGGAGGAAATGCAGAATTGCGGCACAAATCTAAATGCTCGACCTAGGCTCGTGATAGTCGGTGTATAGCATCATGGTAGGAAAAGCCATCACTGTGCCGAAATTGGAGGTCACAGGTCAAAGGTTAATGGCACAGGGCAGATTTTAGACATTTTCTGAGGACATGGTCTGACGGAGCCATTGAAAATTTTTTTTGTTTCAGCGGTGACCTAGCATTTTTATGGCTTTATTGAAAGGACCATGAAATGTCCTTCTGCTGACATGCGAAGAGTAAGTGTCGGATAACCTTTTGACCCCAGAGGAGGGTTAAACATGGATTTGTTGACTGTTAACAAAGGAGTGAACTGCTTTTGCTATTAGAGCCCCTCCCCACCCTCCCCTCCCCTCCCCCACCCCCTCCCCGCCCTTCCCCCACCCTTCCCACCCCCTCCACCACCTCCCCCTACCCTCCATCTGCGATAGTGGGCGTGTCCTAACAATGATGTGTACGCAACTGCGTGTCTGCATATCTGCGCCTAACAAATGTGGTACTACGCACGACTGCAATTTTACGTTTATAATCGTAGCAACAGACCTCAGATGAGCCAGACGCTCTGCGCTCTGTTGTATTATTGATCAGCTGTCCTACCTTGCTAATATAAAACAAACGCTTGTCCCTACGATGCCTCTACGCTGAGATAATGAGCGGTGAAAACCTGGTATTTTGCCATAAAAACACCAAAACCGGAAGCCAACATACAGTTCACAAAACGAGAGAGTCGCAGCCTAGCGTATTGTTGAAGCGTCTCAGATAAACTTAATCAGTAAGCGAGCACAGATTCATTCACGGAATCGCGCATAAATCTTTCTCCATTTCGCCGAATTTTCAACCGTTACGCTCATTATTCTGAGCGTAGGGACATCGTAGGAACAAGCGCGTTGGTTTTACATTATCAAGGAAGGACAGCTGAATAATAATACAACAAAGAATTATCAAAATAAAACTCGTCATGTTTACTAATTTCACTGAAACTACAACATGGTTTTTGCCTTTCACCATTGTACGCTCTCCTTCTTAATAAGCTCTTGATATTATATATGTATATATAATTGAGGCAGCTTCCGCAGTCATCGGTGCCTTGCTCTCCAGGTATATAATACAAGCGACAGCTATATATAATTCCTGCCATACAGGTAGATGAAACAGGTGCTGTGCGCGTGAAACTGGGTTGTCGTTGGCGCGTTGTAGCGTAGCGCGTATAATTTCTGTCAGTGCTGATGCTGCTGCTGCTGCTGGTGTGTGTGTGTGTGTGTGTGTGTGTGCGTGCGTGCGTGCGTGCGTGCGCGTGTGCGTGTGTAGCATCAGCAGAAATTGCAGTAATATACATACTGCGCTATTATGCGGCGGCAGAAATTGTCGTCCTTATATACGCCTAGCGTGTTACAGGGAACACCGATCCATCTAACCTATTCTATGCTATGCTCTCTCTCTCTCTCTCTCTCTCTTTCTCTCTCTCTCTTTCTCTCTCTCTCTCTCTCTCTCTCTCTCTCTCTCTCTCTCTCTCTCTCTCTATCTCTATCTCTCCTCTCTCTCCTCTCTCTCTCTCTCTCTCTCTCTCTCTCTCCTCTCTCTCTCTCTCTCTCTCTCTCTCTCTCTCTCTCTCTCTCTCTCTCTCTCTCTCTTCTCTCGAGACAAAGTCCTTTTCACATTATTTCAACATAGAACTAATTATAATTTGCGCGTGCCATGCCGTAGCATTGCGCCGACCGTACACGAGCTATTGATTCTGTTTCAAGCAACCAGCGTGGGCATAATTAAGTGGGACTAGGTCACGAATAGATTTATATAGCTGTGTAGATTGATGGCATTGGGACGTCCCTACCCAAGTATTCCCGCGAACATAATAAATATATATACACTTAAATCTTCCAATACCGACCACCCTCGGACCGTCCACTTAGTTCGGTTTTCTGTGAAGTTAGGTTTATAGGGGGCCTATCTATTCCAGGCATATCTTACATGTCTCAGATGGTGTTAGGACGTAAAACTTAAACAGAAAATCGTCCGCCTTCAACGTGAGATTCGGTTTTGAGGGCGTTCGGAATTTGGTGGTGCAGGAAACCTGTAACGGTTGGTATGGAACCGGCGTTCTAAATATAGGGAGGAGAATAATAGTCAGGCTGGTGAGAGAGAGGTGCGTGTACGCCGCATGCGTGCAGGCATCCGCGTCCCCTACTGGTCCCTGCGTCGGTTTACAGGCACGAAGAGATTGCTTTATCCTACATAGTGTCATTATATAATCAATACCAGGGGCGTAGATAGCGGGGGGGGGGGAATGGGGGGATACATCCCCCCACTTATTGAGTGGGGGGATGGCGTGTACAATCATCGGATCCCCCGCCTTACTTTCAGGAGGAAAATAAATGGGGAAAAATTTCATATTATAGAGACAATAATACTGAACATTTATCTACAACTTCGTCATCGCTATCCATACTCTCCTAATGTATTATTACACAAATGGAAGTGACCTACATCTACTGTAAATTGTCTGTAACTTGTTCAAGAATGACATTATTTTACTGAAACTCAGACGGTTAATTTTGGACGCATTCCCCATATTTTTTTTCAAAAATTCAAAGCACGTCTTATCACTGCTCACGTAGTAAGTGCGCTGTAGTAAGTGTAGTGTCCCCCAAGATAAAAATACTCAACTCAACAGTAATATTATTGGGATGAAGATGTTTAATAATGCTGTCTCAGAGTGCAGGAAATTGCATCGAAGAGGTGTTATTTTCAACAAAATTTATGGGGTAGGGTCCCCCCCCCTATACAGCTCTAAACAGGAGGAGGACACCCCCCTGAAGGAGGAAAATCTCCTGATATTTTATGATAAGGATGTCCAAAATTTATTGCTTTAAATTTCAATTTTTTTTAATTCTCCAAAAAACGGCCGTCTTGAAGGTTCTAAATTGCTAAAATCAAGAGCTTCGGGGGCTCCGCTTCTTGGATTCCGGGCGGCGGCGGCGGGCCCATGCACCCGCCCGTTAGGGCTTCGCGCCAAGGCGCTCGGTGTGCGCTACTCGCACACACTCTTCCTATACTTTGCGATGTAAGTAACAGCGAAATTATCCCCCCACACACACAACTGAGGACCTGTCAACGCCACTGATCAATAATGTCGCGCATTTTAACTACTCAACACTATTGCTTTTATCAGATTTTTTCTCCATGGAAAAAAACTGTCGTCAGTACATGTATTTGTATCTGAATTCATGCAATAAAGATTTAATAATAATAATATGCGCATGCGTGCGTGTGTGGTGTGCGGCTGTGTGCGTGCGTGGGCTGTACGTGCATATACGTCTGTGGTATGTACGGTGTGCATGAGTGTAGTTGTGTAGGTGGTGTGAAAGTACTATAGGTTTCTTTCTTACTTTAGGGCTAATTTAAGAATCTCTGTTTGAAGGCGACAGAAAGTAACGGTTGACATCATGACACACACATCATCACACGCATGTGTCAGTCTCTCGCCTTCAAATACCGTCTCTCTAATTGTCCACTTAGGTAATTCACGTGCGAATTATCCGTAGAAAATGTCTAGAGAGACTAAAACGAAAATTAGAGCCTGGCTAGGTGTATTAGCATGAGTGAATAAAGACAAATTATATTTGCTTCTATTATTAATTAAACATTGTTTCTAGTTACTTCTGATATTATATATATAATATATATATATATATATATATATATATGTGGGGTTATTGTAGTGGTACGGGGAGAACGGTAGCGGCTAGAGTGTGACACGTAAGAGTGTATATATATAATATAATATAATATATATATATATATATATATATATATAATATATATAAGCCATCTACTGCACAGTAATGACGCTGATGAGAAGGTAATGAAGGTGATCCATCAAACAGGCGGGAGCGCAGCCGCCTGCAGTGTGTCGTCACGCGACCTGATTACCTACCTATCATCACCCAACCTGTACGTGATTATACCTACCTGTGAGTGCCTGTTCCTGTACGTGTTTGGTTGCAGTATCACCTTGTTGACAGATGTGTGGCTACCGTTACATACTTGTGTATATGTATATAAACCTGTGAATACCTGTATATCCCTTATATGCCTGTGTGTAGCTGTATAATAGATGTATATACATGTATATACATGTATATAGATGTATATACCTGGATATCCCTGTATATACCTATGTGTAGCTCTATATACATGATATACATGTATATAGCTGTATATCCCTGTATATGCCTATGTGTAGCCGTATATAGATGTATATAGAGTATATAGCTGTATATCCCTGTATATGCGCCTGTGTGTAGCTGTATATATATATAGTATATATATATATATATATATATATATATATATATATATATACATGTGTATAGCTGTATATCCTTGTATATGCTTATGTGTAGCTGTATATAGATGATACATGTATATAGCTGTATATACCTGTATATCCCTGTATATGCCTATGTGTAGCTGTATATAGATATATACATGTATATAGCTGTATATACCTGTATATCCCTGTATATGCCTATGTGTAGGCTGTATATACATGTATATACATGTACATAGCTGTATATCCCTGTATACAGTAATAACCCGCGTATAAGAACATAGATTTTAAGAACATGTTAGGCTAAAATTTCCCATTTAGACCCCTTTTACAAAGAACCTGTTTTAGGCTAAGATTTTAAAGTAGGTTCTTAATTTTTCATGCAGATGAAGACTTAAAGAAACACGCATCTTAATTTTGCATGTTGTTTTGTTCCTTGGATACATACTGTATCATACAGTATGGTAAGCACTGAAAAACTTACACTGTAGCCCATCATGGGTATTAATTAGCAAAAATTGCAGTTCTTGTAAGAAAATTTTAACACAATTTGAATCAAGTATAATCTTATACATATTAAAAGTAGAAACAATTAAGAACCTATTTAAGAACCTTTTGAACCTAATTGCTGCAGTAAAGCCACCAATTTATATAAGAACATGTTGAGGCTAACTTGGAAAAATCTATGTTCTTATACGCGGGTTATTACTGTATCCCTGTATATGCCTGTGTGTAGCTGTATATAGATGTATATACATGTATATAGCTGTATATACATGTATATAGCTGTATATACCTGTATATCCTTGTATATGCCTGTGTGTAGCTGTATATATCGCTGTGTGTAGCTTTATACAGCTATATATACCCGTGTGTACCTGTCTCTATCTGCATATAGCTGTATATAGATGTATATACCCGTGTGTAGGCCTACCTATCTGTATATAGCTGTATATAGATGTATATACCCGTGTGTAGGCCTACCTATCTGTATATATAGCTGGGTGGTGGCTCTGCAGTATTGATTAAAGGCGTGTACAGCATTACTATTTGCAGCTTGAGTTCAGGTGACAGTTATTATATATTCATGCTGAGCTAGTCGCCTTCCAGATGGTCTACCTCCGTTTATGCATGCATGCACGCATCCACTAATTGTATGCAGTCGTGCAGCTGTTCATCTGCTGCCCGTGGTAGTGATGCTGCTGATGCTAATCATGTTCTTCATCCTTTGTTACGTGAGATGATGCTGCTTCCGCGGTACAGGTATACTACAGCCATCTCAGTCTCCCAGGTGCGATGCGGGTTTGCCCGAAAGACGTGTCACATATATTTCACTAGTTTCGCTCGCGGCACGCCGCACAGGCTCCTGCATTTGGAATCTGGATAGACGGGCTATAATGGTCTGCTTGCTTGTTAGATAGAATAAGGTAACCCTTGTTGCTGCTTGCGCTGGTGGCTCAGGCGTGTCGTATGCACCTGTTACCGAATACACTCTTCATCTGCCTCGCCTGTATAGTGAAATTGCTCTCACGTGCTCCCTGTGTATGCTGCAATTATATAAAAGCAGATATAATAATACCAATAGCGTATTAAGATGGCTGGACCCCCAGCTCCTCTGCCTTCCAGATCCTCATTACGCGCCAGCCAAACCCTACTGGAATTTCATCAGAGTAACGGCTTTCTGTGATATATGTGTGTATGTCAGGCTCGCTGTAGACTAGCTAGAGTGTCGTTCATTGCGTGGCGGCTGTGCCGTGATCGTTATTGATGAGATATGCAATCTGCGTGCGTTACAGGGACGTTCATTTGTAACCAAGCGTCTATCGGGAATAGGTCTACTCCTGCTTGATTATTGCGATGACGACGAGCTGGCTGCGGGAATGTTATTGCGATTGGTTGTGAGTGTGGTTCTAAGTTAACAAAAGCAAGGTATTTACACGTTAAGGTAACAAAAGTGGAGTGTGAAAGTGGGAACCGTGGGTGGGTGTGAAGCGGTGACATTTCGGCAGACAGCCGCAGACTGCAGTGGGGGGATATGTTTGCGTATGATGTAGTTCATTGCATTTGAAGCAGGTGTCGTGTTGTTTTTAGAACGTCAAAGATTTTGTCACGCGCGTTACAGGTCGCCACATATGTGTTGTCGCACGTGTTACAGGTCGTCACATATTTTGTCACGTGCGTAACAGGTCGTCACATATTTTGTCACGCGTGTTACAGGTCGTCACATATTTTGTCACGTGCGTAACAGGTCGTCACATATTTTGTCACGCGTGTTACAGGTTGTCACATATTTTGTCACGTGCGTTACAGGTCGTCACATATTTTGTCACACGTATTACAGGTCGTCACATATTTTGTCACGCGTGTTACAGGTCGTCACATATTTTGTCACGCGTGTTACAGGTCGTCACATATTTTGTTATGTGCGTTACAGGTCATCACACATTTTGTCACACGTGTTACAGGTTGTCACCTATTTTGTTACGCGTGTTACATGTTGTCACCTATTTTGTCACGCGTGTTACAGGTCGTCACATATTTTGTTATGTGCGTTACAGGTCATCACACATTTTGTCACGCGTGTTTCAGATCAGGGAGCCTGAGTTTTTGAACTACTACAGCTCCGTGAGTTACTCCATTGATGACGGCGCTGCCGGGGACGCTTACTTCAACCTCATGATGACCAACTCCTACAAGCTGTCCTAGGACCCGTGGCGCCCTCTACCCGCCGACGACGGCACAAACTGCGAAGTCCGGATCCACCCGCGGCGAAATTTTACTCTCTCGCGTAGTGAGCGTTCAAAATGTATTCTGCTTTCTGGTGTTAGGCGCCGGTGTGGGGAAACTTTAAATTACATGATAATGTATATATATATATATTATATATATATATACACTAGTCAGTTTAGTCCCAAGTCCCTAGCACGTACACTTTCTCGTTCAGGCGTTTGTCGGTATCGATTGTACTTACAAAATACGTTGTTCTCAATAATAGTAACTAAAGGTTACTATAATTCTTAATTTTGTTTAAATTTAAATAAAAATGTCACCTTTAACTACCGATATTAACAGCATTCGCTGGGGGAATTTTTAGATGTAATGAAAAGTACACGGAAAGTATCTTGTGTCTTCTAATTGAGTAATCGAGAAAATAAATGAGCATTTTCTCTTTATACATATTTTCAAGAGTAACATAATAAAATTAACATTCAACAATGTTAATGTTAATGTAGGCCTACTATTGACAATAACACTATAATGTTTATTTGATATTCGGCACCAATTTAATTCCTGCCGATACAAGGTACAATCATGGCAGAAAGTTGTTGTATAGCTTCAACTCTGATAGTATGATAATTGCTTCAGATGAGACAGATGTTATAGACAATGAGGTGAGATAGAATATCCATGTACTGTATGGCAATTGTTCTTGGATTCCTGCCTCTTCTAGCTTGGTAATGAAGAGCCACGGAGTACGCGAGATCTTTACTCTAGCGACCACCGGTCTCTCCGCTAGTGTGGATTTCTAATCCATTTCAATTTCTCTTTCGTAATTTTAATCGCCTTCATTTATCGTACCGTCCACCTGCAATCCTCCGTGCATATTTATCAATACGGGTAGGGTCAAGCCGTCCTTACACACACGCGCATATATATATATATATATATATATATATATATATATATATATATATAGAGAGAGAGAGAGAGAGAGAGAGAGAGAGAGAGAGAGAGAGAGAGAGAGGAGGTACGGGTAGGG